TTCATGATGAAAAGCAGTTCCTAATTCTGGCTTATGTTACTTTGGATTGAGTTTCTTTCATTTGTAATCAAAAGAACCCTGAAAAATCGAGTCTGTATGCTTTCTTGGTACATATATGTAAACTGTTTTCACACAGCATTGTTTCCATTAAAAAAAATTGAAGGAACAGAATGTATTTGAGGGTGGGGATAAGATTTAAAGGTATCAGAATTTCATCTTTATCTGCATAGTGGGTTCTTTGAGAGTGAGATTCCAGACTTCACTCTGTTGCCAGGCTGAAGTACAGTGGCACATCATGGCTCACTGTCACCTGGAACTCCTGGGCTCAAGCCTTCCAAGCAGCTATGACTATAGCATGTGCCACCATACCCAGCTAATTTTTTCTGTATTTTGTAGAGACAGGGTCTTGCCGTGTTCCCCACGCTTGTCTGGAACTCCTGGGAAGTGATCTTTCCACCTCAGCCTACCAGAGCATTGATTATATGTGTGAGCTACTACCCTTGGCCTACTGAAAACTGGATTTTCTAATTCCCCATCCCACCCCATATGCACATTCGGTCTAATGACTGATACATACTTAATAAGTAACTGCTGAACGGCTAAGCAGATGGCACCTGCTGTTATACTTTGTTAGGTCTTTTATGGACTAGTTCTGTGTACTCCTCTTTAAATTTTCTTTCCCTAAAGTATAATACCACTGACCTTTGGGAAACTCATTGTATTATTCACTGAAACAGATTCTGCAGACTCAGAATTGTTCATCGTAATAAAATATACAACAGTCTGCAGAATGCAGAAACTCATAAAAACAATCTGAAGTTTCTTAAACTCATTTAAAATCATAAAGCATGGTAACACTCCATTTGATCTGTACGAACAGCTTTCTTAAACTCACCAAATTACTGTAAAAATAGAAAATATTCCCATAGAACATAGTCCAATTTGTACTGTCTATCACATTTTCCTTTAAAATAGGCCTTGCTTTGAAAAAGTCAAACGTAAGACTATATTTTGACCAAATAAATGAGAAATGCAGGACAGATAGGGAATAGCCAGTGTTTGCAGAGAGCAGCCGGGAAATTTTTGATTAAGCTATTTCTGCTTCCAAACGAACTCCTGGTCGTAGGATCTGTCACAGTGATGCTGACTTCCAATATGTTAAGCTAGACAGAATTTCAACTCCCTTCACTGCAGCAGCGAAGAATATTCACAAGATACATAAAAGGTTTTAGCTCTTACTATTTTCCTGTAGTCTTGGATTGATCTGAGGGCCTCAGGTTTGGGGTTTGTTTGTTTTTTTCGCATCCTCCATCCTCTTTTTTCCCCCTTTTCCCAGATTCTTGCTTGAACATTCTTTGGTAACGCACGTCAAGACCATGACAATATAGCAGCTTAAACCCTACCCGGTGGAAAAACAACCAGGCTCTGGGTGGAGGAGGAGCCCAGCCTTGGACGTGAGCACTGGCAATCCTGAACAAATGAGAATGAGCTTCATGTTGGAACTCTAGTCCTGGCTGCGGCATCTTCTCCGGGTTCCAGATAGAGCCTCTGTGGCCAAATGAGGTTTAATAGACAGAAATCACTCTCTAAATGGTCATCTTGGACACAGATCACCAATATACATGGCCAGAGTGGCTGGGCAAACTTTTGGGCAAGATCCAGGAGAGGAGGGGTGGACAACAGGGCTTGAGCTACTTTAGGCTACAATTATTAAGAACAATTTGCATGGTGGGTCTGTGTTACAAACCACACATTTGGGCAGAAGCTGCTAAAAAATCTGTCTCGTGGTCTGGCATCTTCGTTTGTCCTTGCTCTGCTTTGCGGGCAACCTATCTGATTATTGGCACCTCTGCAGAGATTCAGGGAAGTCCTAAACATCGGAAAAGAGTGCTATGAATCTTTCTGTATTCCATCTGCTGAGAAAAATGTAATAACTATTTCTTCAGAGATTATGAAATCATAGCATGTTACTGTTAAAGTGGACACTAAAAACCATCTATCCCCTTTCTTGTATTTATTGCAACTGAGGCACTTTCAAAGTTAACTGTCTTTCATGGTTGATTACAGTCCACAGAACCATGGCTGTGGTTACTAACTGGGTGGTGCCATAATCTAGGCGGGGCAGGAAAAATCATGGGACTACACTTTATATTTATTTGTATCCTCTTATTATAAGAATTATTATTTATGAATGTCTAATAAGAATGTTTAATTATGACTTTTATGACCATAAAACAATGACTTCTATGCATATATTTTGCAATATATATATTTAAATCAACACCCCAATATTGCTTACACTCTTTTCTTGCTTTTTCCCCCCATAGCAGTAATTGTCATGTTACCTTGTTATAGACCATGTCTCTTACGGATTTTGTTTATAGTCTGTGTCTCCCTCCCATTAGAATGTAAGTCCCATGTGGGCAAGAAACCACTGGCCCTACTGAGGGGCTACATGTAAACTAAACTACCACAAAAGACACAATTTTCCTCTTCTCCCTGCCCATGACCTGTTTTAGAAGTTTATTGGAATTGTTTTCTAAGGGCATTAATAAGTCACTTTCTATGAGATTTTAAGGAAATAGGTCACTGCTCTATGCCTCAGTTTCATGACCAATAACGGGATTGGCTTAGATAATCTTCACAGTCCCTTCCAAATGTAATATTCGTTCTCTGGTGAAAGCCTAGTTTCTAGAATGGGGACGACATATATTAAATAGTTTTAAATGAGTATATTAGTACAGTACGACTTGTACATAATGTGCAAATAATTTTTTTTTTTTGAGACGGAGTTTCGCTTTGGTTACCCAGGCTGGAGTGCAATGGCGCAATCTCGGCTCACCACAACCTCTGCCTCCTGGGTTCAGGCAATTCTCCTGCCTCAGCCTCCTGAGTAGCTGGGATTACAGGCACGCGCCACCATGCCCAGCTAATTTTTTGTATTTTTAGTAGAGACGGGGTTTCACCATGTTGACCAGGATGGTCTCGATCTCTTGACCTCGTGATCCACCCGCCTCGGCCTCCCAAAGTGCTGGGATTACAGGCTTGAGCCACCGCACCCGGCCCGTGCAAATAAATTTACAAATGCCATCTGTGGAGGCTCAAGAACGTCTTACTGATACCAGTGTATTCGTAAAGTTTGGAGCCCTTTGAATTAGAAATTTAGAAAATGTTAAGTCTCTCTGGGAACTGATCAAAACAAGAACGAAGAAGAAGACCAATGAGCGAGGGGCTTGAGGTGCAGCCTCTTCTGTGCAGTGAAGACTGTAACTCATCTGGAGGAGGACTTTTTATTTTGGGCATTAGCTTCAATGGCCTATTTTAGTTGTGTTAAAATAGGACAAGCAGGCAAGCAACATCTTGAGTTTAGGGCAGAAGAAGAGCTATGGTGACTGAAACCAGGGCTTTTACTACCTAACGTAACTGGTTACGAAGAGGCAAAGCAAGCAAACCCCCAAAATATGGGTTCCTTTTGAAAGTGAAAGAACAAATGCCTGTGGAATTCAGTTTTTGGGAAAACTGGAAAAGCAGTCAGGAACTGCCCCAAACAAAACCCAGTGGCAGGGAAGAGCAAAGGGGTCCTTCAGAGAAGATTCGCGGATGAACAGCACACTGTGCGCAAACGACCCGGACCCAGAGTCTAAGTGCTGCGGGTGGAGCAAAGCCGGTTATGGCGCGTTTTGTCCTCAGGGCCAAATGCTCTTCAGGGCCCAGCCACAGTGGCCTTGCAGTTTAATGTGCTTTTGGCCGGGCGCGGTGGCTCACGCCTGTAATCCCAGCACTTTGGGAGGCCGAGGCGGGTGGATCACAAGGTCAAGAGATCGAGACCATCCTGGTCAACATGGTGAAACCCGCCTCTACTAAAAATACAAAAAATTAGCTGGACACGGTGGCTCGTGCCTGTAATCCCAGCTACTCGGGAGGCTGAGGCAGGAGAAAATTGCCTGAACCCAGGAGGCGGAGGTTGCGGTGAGCCGAGATCGCGCCATTGCACTCCAGCCTGGGTAACAAGAGCGAAACTCGGTCTCAAAAAAAAAAAAAAAAAAAAAAAAGTGTGCTTTTGAGGACAATGACTGAGCACTGTATTTGGCCTTAAATGTGCTGCGACGTCAGCTTCCGGACCTAGCATTTTCCGTAGACGCACAGTACGAAGCGTGAGTGAGTTTCAAACGCAGTGCTACACGGTAGGGAGAAGCACTAGCCACAGCCGGCCAATCAAAATCCAGCCTTACCTAGGCCTGACACTACAAAAGGATCAGTGTTACGTGTGATTAAGTCCTTAAGATCCTTGGACAATTTGAGAAGAACAGGTGAGTAGACAAAGCCTGCACTTTGAGAGGAGAAAGTGGGAACTGAAGATATAGTATGAGCTCTGACACCACTTCCTTCCGTAGTCAGAGCACCTGCGTCTTCTGAATACGGTCGCCGTTGCTGTGGATCGGCCACAGGGCTTAAAGGTGTAAACTCTCCTGTTCTACAATAATATAGTATCAACCACCAAGGTAGTTTTATAGATAAAACAGAAACAAAACATTTCGCATTTAGGGTCATGTATCTCAAAAGAACCGTACTAGATGGCTTTTATTGATAACGCATTGCCTGAAAGCAAGCGCTCTTTTTCCTCTGAGTTAAAAGTCTAAATCAATTTGCTCTTTCCAGTGGTGCACTGAGTTGCCCTAAGGAAGAAAGAAAAAGTAAACGTTACTCTTCCTTTTGTCTTACTTGTAGGTCAAGGAGATTGCATAAACATAGTAAAACAAGTGTGAAAATCTCAGCTGCGACATGTAGATCAGTCACTCACATGGCACAGCCTGGCAACTGGCCCCGAGGACACCAAATACAGCTCAGAAAGGTTACTGAGTTTTTCCAACTCAGCCACAGACCAGGAGCAGCTCTCAGGAAGATAAAGGCCAATCCGAGTGAGGACAAAGGCGGATTTCCCCCTCAAGCTAATGTGTTTACATTCACAAAATGGCAGTTTAACTATTGGTAACACTTACATCTTGGTTAGACATTTCCCAGTAAGGCCTCTCTCCATAGGACATGACCTCCCACATGACAATGCCATAACTCCACGCGTCACTTGCTGAGGAGAATTTTCTGTAGGCGATTGCTTCTGGAGCCGTCCATCTTATGGGGATTTTTCCACCCTGGAAAACAAATTGGCTTACCATTGTATTAAAAACAAAATGGAATTCCAATGGAATATTTTTTATTAGAAAGATGTAAACACTTCATAATAGCACTGGCATTTTAAATTAAAATCAAAAGAAAGCCAGAGTAATGTTAAAATGTCAGAAACATTTTCCTATAATTATTCAGTGAAAATAGCTTTAAGGGGAAATAAGTCATACTTCAGAAATATTTTATTTCATTCATTAGAGAAATTTATTTTTACTTTAGATTCACACAATTAACCTCACTATAATGCCATTTGAATAAAGTTCCAGATTATAGGACGTTAAAACTAAATATCATTCAACACTCATTAAACATTGTATTGCATTTATAAATAATAATGAGAATAATCTCTAACTTAATTGAAGACAAGTGCTTCAATACAGAACCAAAACACTCTCTACCAATTTAATACTTACCAGGATTTTACTTCAGTTCCCTTCTTTCCTTTACATCTGCTATGAGTACATTTGTTTAATATGAAAACATTCTTTAACAGCACACAAGAACACCTTGAAAGGATAATCTTTCTTTCAAAAACTTTAATATAGTTTATATTTTTATTCTTTAATGTTCAACTTAACATTTTAACATATTAAAGGGATTAAATTGCATGAATTTAATCTAAAGGTTCAAGAATTAAAGTCTGCCATTGTGTTACACTTAAATTTTATTAACATTTATTACCTTTTATCTCTTGAAACACTCTATAAATCCCTTTTTACTGTAATGGCAAGAATAAAACAATTCATCCATTTGATTTACAGTCTTTAAAATCCTTGCAGCTCCAAACTGCGCGCTGAGGCGGACGAAAGCAGCCCTAGCGCCACTAGATGGCGGAAGAGAACAACTAGCAGCTCCCAGGCTGCGTCTTAAACCGCGGAGCTGGCTTCGGTTCACAACAAAAATTATTTTGACAGTCAGAGCCCATCACAAAGGGATTTTTCAACATTATCCATGTTCATGATCCCATAATCTGATGACCCACTGTGTGCAAAGCCTGGTGCAAGTAGAGGTGGAAAGAAAGAAAAATGTGTTCTTTGGCCCTTAAGGAATTGAGGTTAAATGCCTTTAAAGGTGAAACTATTAATTGAGTCATGTAAACATGACTTATTTAGGAATGTTTCATAAACACTACTTACTCTGGAAAAAAAGGGATTCATTCAAAATGGGAACAATTTAGGTTTCACAAGGCAAATGAGAGCGTTACTGGAAACTTCATTTCAAAGACCAGTAGCATGGTTAGAAGGAACCTTGGGGAAAACACTTGGAATCCAATCCCCTGATTTCACAGGTCAGCAAACTGAGCCCATGGCTTAGAAATTTAAAGGTTTAGAAATTTCTCACCATACAATTAGGTACCTTATGTATACTAACGCTACCATATGATGTAAAGATGGAATACTTCAGCACAGGTATAAAAGTTGTGTAAAACTAACCTTCATGTTTTAACACAGAATATTCTATAACTACGTACCAAACCACATAGCCCAATAGGAGGGAGCCCGAAGCCTGAGATTTTCATGCATTGGGACAGAGGTTAAAGGCAGCACCAAGTTAAGACTAGGAAATTAAATTTACAAAGTTGGTGAGAGTAGCTTAAGAATGTTGAAGGGAGGGAATTGCAAGTGAGAAGATTCATTCTTGAACCCAAAGTAGGCCAGCCACATAAAATAAGGGACTCATAAATTTGTATTTCAGAGAAATAACAAATAATTTTTCATTGTAAGCATGTTCCACAAAGGAATTTTTTGGTATAAGCATATCCCAAATATTATATGAGACATGTTTATACTTAAGAACACAAGAAATCATTGTTTATCTGCAATTCAGATTTAACTGGGCACCCTATATTCTTATTTGCTAAATCTATCTACCCTAATCCAAAGCACTAAAAAAACTCAGAAATGAGAACACTGCAAATGATCCAACTGAACATAAAGCCATGTTCTAAAAAACTGGTGTGATCTTCACAAGGTGGTAAAGGTATCTCTACCTGTATTTGTGCACCAATACTATAGTATTCTTGTTTTATTGTATGCTTGTGACTAAAGTCCGTCAGTCTTGTGGCTCTGCATATTGAAGCTATTTAAGTAAGATTCAGGCAGGCTTGATTCAAATATGGAAGCCACATTTCCAGAGAATAAAGACCAACTTTGTCCATTTGACCCAAGAACACATAGAAGAGCAGCAGTCCCATCTGGCATTTCTCACGCTGGCTCTTTCTTTGTTCTAGAAAAAAATATGGAAAAGTGTGAATTCCTGGCCTGCCTGGTTCTTCCTTTGCTGAATCTCTGTGGGTTCTATTCAGATAGGTCAAAAAGCAGAGTTAATGGTTATTTTATGTTCATTCACTTTTAAATGATATTTCATATAAATGATTCACATATAAATTTATACTTTGAATAATTTGATATCACATGTAAATGACAACTTTGTCACTTTCCTTCCTAGCAGAGTAATACACTACCACTATGTGTTTTTTTTTAATTTTTCAAAATACTTTGCTAAATAAACAACATTATAAATGGACAGTGCATCTTTATTTCAAATTTTATTCCAACTGTTGTCTTTAAATGAAAGGTATGAGCTACAATAAACCTTAAAATAAAACATGAAAAAGGGGACGCAAGTGTTTTGTAGGAAATACAATTCTAATGAACAAAATGCATAGTCATATGAACCTGATGGTAGGCACACCCTGGAATATTTCTGAGCAAATATGGAATAGGGACAGGGAAGCAGTCACATCTTCTGTTCCAGTGGGAGGATATATCCTGGATACAGTTGATGTCCAGTTGCAAGAGGAGGCAGAAAGGAAGAAACCGTTACGTCTACTGCATTGTCTGTATTCCCCACATCAGAGGAAACAGAAGCGCCTGCTTTCTCTTTTTCCTTCTTTAATTGAATGGATGGACTTAAGCTTTGATCTCATCGAAGTACTTTTGCCCATGATCTTGAATCCTATACAGAGGTCATGCACTAAGATACCTTTTTTCTCAAAGCGTTAACCACCAGATTTGCTGCAGGTTTCGGGAATGAACAAATAGTACTTTAGATTTGAAATCACAATGATTGGAACATTACATGTTGCTTTACCATATGTTTTGAGAGAGAAAAAAGTTGCCAAAGATGCTAATCAAAATGACAGAATGTAACTCAAATGGCTTCTCATTCACTAATACTTCTCTCACAGAGCAAGCTTAATCACGCAGGGAACAAAAGCAAAACAGGAGCTGAGTCAGCTGGACGGCACTGAAACGGGCGTTAGCAAACCTTTCATGTTCTTCCTGTTCTCCACGTCATATTTAGAGATCGTTGTCTAATAAGTTGGTAGGTAGTTGAAAGAGGGAATAAGGAGAACCGTATGTTTGTATATCTCTGCCCCATATCCCCAGAGTGGAATTGTATTATAGGTGCATTTAATATCTGAGTATTAGAACGTAAGCCCCTAATCTTCAGAGGACTGACTAATCAACTGAAACGTAGCAAGGTTACAGAGGTTTAATACTGGGAACAAATGAAAATATTCTGTGGAGAAGCAAGAACACTTAAAATGTCTCTCTCTGTTTCTCATTTATTGGATTTGATGGTTATCTTGAAGGTAAAGGGTTTGAAGAGACAATCATCTGCCTGAAGACTTTTCTTATGTTCTCAGTCTATCTCTATAGTACTCAAACTTTAATAAGGATATATTATGCTAAAGGATAATTCAAAACATTCTTAAGGGCAATTTTGACTAAAAAATATTTTTCTGTCTGAACCACAAATTGTAAGATGCGCTTTACTACAGTTCATTGTGTGACCTTGGAGGTAAGACTCCCTTTCACATCTAAAATGAAGGGATTTGAATTCATGACCATAAAATAGTCAGCCATAATGAGTTTTGATATTTTCCCACAATTTCTCAGCTCCCATTAAATTGTAAAGCTATAGGCCTTATGAGCTGGTACCAAGACCGTGTGAGCAGCAGCCTGATGGCAGATGGAAAAGGCTACGTCCCTGGCCAATAATTCATGGTTACGGTAACTATCATGAGAGGTAAAGAGAAGCAACAGTATGAATAGTACATACTGGAAAGGTATGAAACCAACACACTGACCTTTTCTTCCTTTTTATTTTTAAACTCTAAATGGGTGACCATTGGTTATTTGGAAGTCTCATTATACGGAGTCTTACTGATGTCAGACAAAGAAGGAATTACAGTGCTTACTGGAGGGTTACTTTAAATTATAATTTCTTGTTGGGATTATGTGTGGCAGAGGTGGTCTTGTTTCACAAGCTTTGGTGGAGAGGTCAGCGTACCGGGGCCTTCTGCCTTAATGCACCATGGTGTTCCAAAAAGTCACAGCAAGGCACAGAACGATTTCACGTTCACTAGTTAGAACAGACAACCCTAACGAGGGGATAGTATACTTTCTCTTGAGAATCACTGATCTTGAGAAAGAAATCCATCTCTTGTGCATCTCTTCCTCGTTTGTATTTCCTAATCAACAAATTATTTTATAGTGTAAAACGGTATTATATGGTGCAGGTGTTTTAAAAGTACGTGCCCAGCCCCTCTCAGAGAGTCATGCATATCCCTCCTTTATTGAAATTTACAAATCTAGGGAAACTTTGGGACTCTGGAAAGTTTTATCCTTTTCTGAAATATGGAGATAATATCTGTCTCTACTTGAAGAAAGATTGAAGGCTTATAGTGCAATGAATTCATTTGTAGTCACAAAGGAGAAACTTCCTGTATTTTGGCTTTTGGATATCATTTATTAAGTGGATTAAATGAGATGATATACACAAAACACCTCTTAGCTGCCAGCACCCAGTGACACTCAGTAAATGTTATCTATTTCTTTAATCATGTATCCAAAACTTGTCTTTTTTCAGACTCACTTGGCTTCCGGCCCAGATCAGCATCTCAACTCCTTCATGTGGATTCACTGAACTAACCCCTACCATGCCCAGGCTCTGAGAT